TAGTTCCGGATTGTCAGCAACTTTCTTTTTTTGTATGCTTTTTCGTTGTGCTTGATGTGTTTTGTGGCCTTTGTTTGAGATTGTTTTCTAGTTTACAGCTGTTCACGAGTTCTGTTTGTAGTTCTCTTGCAGGACAAGAAGTTGTTGGACTTGCCAAAGTTATTGGATATATGTGCTATATATGGACATGAGAATGCGGAGCTTACAAAATCTTTGGTAAGTCATTCGAGGAGAATTACCATGGTCTGAAAGCTGATATAATCTTCTATTCTTTTGCTAATCTAACTGCCCCTTTTCCCAGATTGAGAATGCTGTGAAATCACAAACCTGGATTCCTGAAAGTTTGAACGTGATGCTGTGTCATTTCTTGGGCATCCTGCACACAATGCATCACCGTTGCACCTCATCTTTGGAGGTATGTTATTTATATCTGATTTCAGAAACTCTACTTTGGGATAGACTAGAAAAGTTAAAGATGTGTGTAGATATACATAATAAGCTTAAAGAACACATCCGGTGTTGAATTTAACCTTCTTGGTCTGAAAATTCTTGTTTTGGTTTTTTTTTCTTCATCTTCCCCTTGGGTCTGTAATTATATCAACTTTTCTTATCTGCAGTCTTTATTGAGCGCAAATAGTGAAGACCATGGACGTAGACAACTACATTCTGACCTTTTGGAGGTGAATTTCCCTGTTTTTCTGAAAATTTCTCTGTTGTTACATTGCTTTTGCGTTGTTACAATTTAACATTTGCGTCTGTGGGTACATCAGGCTAGTAGCATTCAGAGTTTTGGAAATAACTGATAAATTGTTTCCTTGCTTGGCAAAAGTAAATTAAAACCTGAAACTATCAACATCAGCATTTAGAAGGATAACAATAATCTTCTTCTTTGCTTGGGAAAACTAGTTTTAAAATTGAAATCACTGCTTTAGTTTACATTTAGACAAGCTTGATACATAGATCAGGATATTGGTTATGCTTTCACATAGTTTTTTTTGCGAATCTAAGAAGTTGATAGATATATAAATAAAACAAAGCTGCCTTAATAAGGTGCTGATGTTTCTGTCTATCTAATTAGGTTATGGACTTCATCAATGATGGAGTTGTGTCTTTGGATGCTTTCATTTCTGCATATAAACCAGCAGCTTTAATCTTGGCATGCACTGTTGAGACAAGGTATGCACCATCTCCTGTCTAAATCTTTCGATTTCTCTTGTGAGAGAATGCATGTTGCAGGCCAGAGAAACAGCTATAATAAATGAACTCTGAGTAGTACTCCGAAGTCTTGCATCTACACACTGCTTCATTGACATAAATCATCTGTTATTGGATTTATATTATATTGCACTATGAATTTCTCATGATTGATGAAAAACCATATTAATAGTGGAAACTTTGTTGCTATCAGTGAACTATATTTGGTTTGTTTGTAATTAGTTTGATCAGAACCTAAATCCATCTGTGCAGTTATGGGAGCGATGAACTTCTCCACAGCCTTGTTCGGTTGCATGATTCATTGCTTCCATCACTTCAGCGTGGCTTCCAGGTCTTGTTCAACGATGGAGAGGATGATTCACTTTCAGACATATCCACGAGCTTAAACATGCTATCAACAAGGATGGAAAAATTATGTTGGAAAATCTTAGATATCTGCTACCTCAGTGACGATTTTTTCAATCATGAAACTTCAGTTTCAGCTGTCACGAAGATGTTCCCGTCAAGAGTAGAGGACCCTATGGTAAGGGCAGATATACTGATTGAAACATTCAGGGAGATCAGTGGAGTTTCTGAGCAGTCGCTGGATAGCAAGAACCGATTGCTCCAAAAGATTGAGAAGAATTTCCGAATAATTGATAGACTTAGGAGTTTACAAAATGCAGGTACTTTCTTATTCAATTTGGTTCGATTCCTGAGTATATATGCTCTGTTAGGATAGATCGTGTGTAGTTCACTAAAGGTAAAATAAGCATCACATTTATTCCACTGCTAGCTAATGAACCAAAAGGGAGTTCTTTGCAATCATATGAAATATGGTATCTTAGTGCCGTCTGAATAGTTTGCTATTGGTTTCAACGCAGGATGGGTATTAATGGAAGATGAGCAGCTTCAGTATTTGTCAATGATTATGTTGCATTCAGCAGACACTGTCTCTAGGAAGGAGTTACCGCTTCTTTTAACTGACGGTGGAAAAGCCGAAGAGCTCATGGATGAAAATGCTGTAGTTATGCAATCAAAGATCAGTCAAATAAAAGACATATTCCCTGAGTATGGAGACGGTTTCTTAGCTGTGTGTCTTGAAGCATATAACCAGAATCCAGAAGAAGTAATACAGAGGATACTTGAAGGAACACTCCATGTGGATTTGCAGCGATTGGATACTTCGCTGGAGACAATGCCGCAACCTAAATCTGCTCCAACTCTTAGCAGCAAAGACAAAGGGAAAGGGAAGCTCATCGAATCTGACACTAATATCTACACAGAGCAGCCGATCAATCGTCCCTCACTCCCAGCTTCATCAGCCTCATCCGCAACAGTTGGTAGATTTGTGAGAAAGCCAAAGGATGATACTCCAGACTACAAAATTCTCGATGCAAGAAAAGAAACCGACAAAGAACGGAATGCTGCCTTACTTGCACAATACGAGTATGACGATGAATACGATGATTCTTTCGATGATCTGGGGTTAAGTGTTGTGGAACCAACTACAGAAGAAAGCGAGGCGTTTGGTAACAGAGCTGGCTCAGGAGGAGGATCAGAACCTTCTGCTGCTCCGAAGTGGGGAAGCAGAAAGACTCCTCAGTTCTATGTGAAAGATGGTAAGAACTACAGTTACAAAGTGGCAGGGGCTATAGCGGCTGCAAACGCAAACGAAGCTTCACTAATAAATGAAGCTGAGGGAGATAAGATTCTTGGGTTGGGACGTGGAGGAAACATTCCTCTCGGGGCGGTAAGAAAACTGACAGAGTATGAGGCACAGAGAGATGAGAAGAGTCAGCCAAATGTGAGCACAAGCGACGGAAGAGAGAACGGGAGAAACCCG